ATCATAGCATCTCATCATTAAAATTGATCACAAATAAAGACACTCTAATAACACTAACAAGAGCAAAATCATAGCCGTATTTGTCCAGAATTAAAGTATGGTCAAACTCACCAAATTTGCAGCAGCAAATCACAAATACAGTCTAACCAAATCATTTTCATCTCTTATGAAGTCCATTACCCAAAGCATCAAAATTACTCCGTATAAACATTACCCAACATGATGCTGGATGCACTATGACACATACCAGTGTTATAATGCATCACCAACTCACTCACAAATAAGAAGAAAGCAGAACATAATGCACTATTAAGCTTTCATGATGCATCTCCTACAAGGGTTAAGAACAAAATGCAAATGCACATATCACTATCAAAATGCATCACCAACTTCAAATAGTAGAGAGGGGAAAAGGAGTTAAATGAATGATAATCTCTTCAAATGCAAGAATCTTGTTGATCGAGATAATGAGGGTGTTCATGAATGTAATAGTGATATGCACCTAATTTCCAAATGTTGAAATTCAAGAAAATCGTGCACCTGTAGGCTACTTGTCGACAATCATCGCTTTCAGAATCGTCTCGATTAGGTCTTCTCTGTAGGCGGTGTGAATACAGCCGGCTAATTTAATTAGGATATCTTGAGAAAAGAAGACTTCTATTCATGATAATTAATCCTAGCAGTTTAGACGTGGGAAAGTGGTGCACCTATGTTCCTAATTTGCCCCTGTAATATCTCCAATTTTGAATATACCCCATTTATTAGTTACCAAAATTAAATTGAATTCGATATTTAAATCCAAGCCGTAAGTTTCATCAGATCTAATGGATGCTGTTTATTCTTATTTCTTTCGTAGTGACTCATTCTTATTGGAACCAACCCCTATATATATATATATATATATATATATATATATATATATATATATATATATATAGTGTCGGCAAAATTTGCAGCAAAATTACATCTCTGAAAATATGCAGCAAAATTTCCAAACAAAAAAGTGTCGGCAAGATATATAGAAAAGAACAGAAGCAATGGATAGAAATTTTTTTGCAATCCATAGTTGCTCTTTCTAAAAAAATTTGTTGAATCGATGGATGCTTTCCTCCAGAAAATTTTTGCAGAAAAGAAATCCACTTGCCCAGTACTTGTGAACTATGGCTGGCTTCCAAGACTATCAAACAACAGGGAAGAGAACAAAGGGGAAGACCAGAGACAAAAAAAAAGTAAAATAGATGGAATAGTGGAATACACTACCTATTGTATCTTCTATTTATGAACGACGGGAGAGGGAAAATAGAATTCACTCTATTTTATAAAGCATGCGTTGGAGACTTAATTTATGTACAGTATAAGGTAAATCTTTTATATTTTACACTTTACTCATTTATAAATGACCCGTTGGAGTTGCTCTAACACCAAAATGTTTACAATTACGGAGTATGAAATTACACCTTGGTTCCCATGACATTGGGAACCAATGTCATGGGATGACCCGAGGCCGCTCCGGTGCTCCGTTTGTAAAATTGACGGTTCCTACCCCCCTAACCCCCCGGTAAACCCCCCAACCCGCCTCCGACCCGAACGCACCCCCCCACCCCCTTCAATTGCACCCCATGAAATTAATACTCCGTAGATTTTAAGTTAAGTTTAGACTTTTTAACTAGTTACGACAGATTTAAGCCCATTTACCTTATTCGGTAGTCGTATCTTAGGCCCGGTAAGTCTAATTCGTAAATTAGAAAAATAACCTTTGTACTAGTAATTAATTAGTTATATAAATTAATTAAAAATACTAAGCCGGGTTTCGGACGTTACAATATTTTTATAATTCTTCATTAAAAAATAAATTGGTTTGAAAAGTCGGTTCAAGTATGGATGAGTTATAAATATCTTTTATCTAAATAATCAGTTATTTGAAGTTTAATTTTTTGTAGATGAATATAAAACTACGAAGTATGAAACTACGATGTTTTTGTTAAATACGAAGTAGAAACTAAACTATGTTTTTAAGTATTTCTTGTATTTAAATATTAATTTTTAATTTTTTTATCTTTCTTCATTTGAATGTACTTTTGATTTATTTAAAATAAAACGTTTTGTAGATTTCAAAGTGTAAACTAAGTACGTATATATATTCAACCCAATATTTACCGAAATCGAAACATACCGAACCATAGTGAACCGATAGTTCGAAATATTAGTACGATGTAAAATCCCATCTAATATGGACCACTTATGTCTTATTCTATTGTTTTTAAGGAATAAAAAGTTTTTTTTTCCGAACAACCCAAAAAGAAAAAATAAAAATATTAATTTGAAACGAAAGGAGTATTAATCAAATGACGTTGCAATACGTTATTAGCCACCAGGTTGCCAATTGTTGGTGAGTTTGTACATGCATAGTTGATATTCGTATGTGAAAGGTGTAATCTCAAAGGCGTATTATTATACATTTTCATCATCTACAATGGAGCTAAAAATCTACTATTTTAGAGTGTGATGGAATAAAGCAAAATAGATCTCCAAACTGTCAGTGCTTCTTTTACTTCTTTTATTAATGATGTAAGAGTTCGTCAATTAATGCAACTTTCAACGGTGAGCTGCGGGTCTCTTTGGAAACAGCTTCTCTGCTTTCAACTTTCAATTCGAGCACATATAAAGTTTGCATACAGTACTCTTGTGAGATTCAACTGGATTGTTTTTGTTGTTGCAAAGGCATATTACTCTCTCCGTCCTAAAATGTTTTTCCGTTTCTGTTTATGAAGTTTGACCGACTTTATTTTCAATTCAATTTATTTTATTATAGGTGTAAAATTAAAATATGAAATTTATATATTTAAAAATTATATTAAAAGTTCTATAAAACAAAAGGTGACAAGACTATATTATTTTATCAAATAACAAACGAAAATAGATAAAAATGATTAAAATTTGACTGTGTAAATAGTATCTGAAAATAACATTTTATGAGGGGAGAGAGTATAGACATATAGAAATCACCATAAATAGAACCAAAAGATAGAGAAAGGTATTAAAATAAGACTTTGATGTTTTGATCCTTGAAATAGGATCTCGCACTGTGGTAATGTGGTTGTAATGTGACACTGTACATGTGCACATTATTATACTTTTTGGTAATGTACATGATCCGGGGGTCTCTTGGAAACAGCCTCCCGGCCTACTTCCGAGTAGGGACACACACCTTCCCCAGACCTTATTACTATTGTGGGATTCACCTGGGTTGTTGTTGTTGTTGTTGTTGTACATGACCATGTTTGATAATGTAATTGCATTTTAAGTTCTATTTCGGGAATAAAAATATAGAAGTTCTATTTTGATATATTTTTAATATTTTAATCATACTTTGATCTTTCTCCCTTAGACATATGTGTATAAATTGTCATTTATAATTACCCCAAGGTTCCTATGACACAATGTCATGGGAACCTTTACCTTAGAAAAAATGACTCTAAGGTACCTCCGATTTTGTGTTTAGGACTGTCAGGTCCTATTTTTTAAATAAATACTCAAGGGACCCCTAAAATTAGATCTAAGTGACTACGCGGGTCACTTCCGTCAAACCAAACGCTGGGATAAGGCAACCCGTCAAGTCTTTATCCCCCTCTGTATCCCAGCTCTATACTTCTTCTTCCACTGACCCTTCGCGTGCGATCCCCCCGTGAAACTTGCAACCGTGATTCTTTATCAAGAGAGGGAAGACAAGTTCATTGCCGGTAGGAAGTCCTTGAAGCTGCGATTGACCTTTACATAAAAGGGGTTTGCTCAAGGCACCAACAGAGATGCAGTAAATGTAAACAACTAGGTCACATTCACAGGACATGTGGGCAAATAAGAGTTGCTGATGAAGAAGCACAACATGAAGAATAAATTAAAGTTCATGCGAAAGACACAATAATTGATTGTGTTAGTTAGATGATGTTAATATAATTAGAACACTAAACTCTGGCTTATTTTTGGGTATGTTAATACTTAATAGGTAGGTTGGAACCCAGAGATATACTCTGGTTTTTTGGGGTATGTTAACTAGTTTGTTGGAAGAGTATAATTTTGGTTTTTTGGGGTATGCTAAAAGGTAGGTTTACAAACTTGGCAGTATTTGTGTTGTTTGACATGTTGTGTTTTGGGTTTTTTTGCAACGTGCCATGTAATCTTGTAGTGCATATGATGCAAATGTAATTGGGTACTAGCTTGTTTTGGAAGTAATATAAAGACTTTGTATCTCTATTTGCAAATTCATCTAAACGATGTTCTCTCTTGACTGCACAGTTGCTAGTCCCAAGCTTCTATACCCGAAGTACACGCCTAGGAATGATCTTCATCAATCGGTGGCACATTGGAGGGTCAATCCATTCCCAATAACGACATTTACGATATCCCTATGAGACAATTTAAACAAAAGTTTAGCAAGTTCAATATATAGTTTTGAGAAGATCTCATAAATATGAAACATAATTACACCCACTTTTCCTCTGCACTCCCAATATCTTCTTCCGGGATTCATATCAGTCCACGCAGTTATTATATTCATTTCTTTGTCACGCCTACAAGTTGGAACATCCAACCAATCACCATAGTGGCAGATTCTACATCTTGTAGAGGCTCATTCACTGCTTCACTCACAAAGCATACTTTTTTAGCTCAAAGTTAACATTCAAACAAATCACACAAAACGACGTACATGTGTTACACAATTGAATCACTTTATAAACAAACCTAACGAGTTTTGACCTTTTTTTTAGGTAAAAGTCAATCGCAGCTTCAATTACTTTGACTCAAAGGAATTTGTAATGAAAATTCATTAAACAAAAGAAACACTAGTAATTGAATAACCAGTAGAATATTGGGGTGAAGCGCGATTGAGTTTCTATTGGCGAATTGAAATACTTGGGGTTGCAATACTATTGAAACACTAGCGATTGAATAAAAGAAACAAGCCATTAAACAAAAGAAATACTAACAATTACTGGTACATAACTAGTACAACATTGGGGTGGAGCTGCGATCATCCCTCTCTTGATGTAGAATCAGAGTTGCAGGTTTTACCTGGGGGAGCGCCAAGGCCTGCGTCCGTTGAAGAAGAAGTATCCGGTTGGGGATAGAAGGTTGGATAAAGGCTTGACGGATTTCCTTTTCAAGCGTTTTGTTTGACGGAAGTGCCCCCTTAGTTACTTACATCTAATTTTAAGGGTCCCGTAAGTCTTTTTTAAAAAAAATGGGACCTCATAGTCATAAACACGAAATTAAGTGTACCTGAGAGTTATTTTTTGTTTACCTTATACTGTAGTATTAAATTACCTTATACTCCGTACTTTATAATTACCCCTCTGCCTTGGGTTTGTTTTGTCACTGTCAACCAGGAGCCAGCAACCGCAGCAGCGGCCCGCCAAGTTGCCGAACACAATCGCCGACCTTCCTCCTCCGCCGCGTAGTGGGTTCGGCCGAACCAGGGCAGTGGTTTCCCCTTTCTCCGGTTCAAGTTTCGTCGTTAATCCAGGTGTGATTCGTTGTCCCAAATATCTATCGTTAGCCGTTAATTCGTAGATTAGGATCTTGTTTGTGTTTAATCTTGCAATTGATGGTTGAAATTGTGGAATTGATGAATGGATTGGGGTATTGAACCTTTTGGGTTGTTTTGAGGGTCGGATTTCCGGCGATTCCCCGGTGGGTCGCCGGCGGTGGGTCGGCCTAGTCTGCCGGGATCTCTATTTGGTTCCGATTGGTCCCTATTTGACCCATTTGGGTCAAATTAGTCTAATTGGGTTGGTTTAGGTTTTATTTTGGGTTAATTGAAATTAGATAAACCCATTTTCTAATGGGTGTTGGGCCGGCTGCCTGGTCCAGCGATTTGGGGGACGGGCTGCATTGGCTCCCGGGCAGCTGTTGGGCCGGTTGTGGGCTGCCGGGCAGCTATCGGGTCGGTTGGGCCGGTTTGGGCTGGCTACCCGAGAGGAAGGTGAGGCTGTCGGGCGGTGGGCAGTTGCCTAGGGGGTTGGTTGGTTGATTTCTGGGCCGCCGGGTTGGCCCGGCGGGTTGTCGGCTTGATTCAGTTGTAAATGATATTGTTCCAGCGGGTGCAGCGGGCTTGAGGATAAATCCTTAGTTCCCAGTTCGCGACACAGGTAAGTTATTTAAATATTGTTGGGTTTAATCCTGTTGTTTGAGCATGACGGTAATTGGGAGAAGTGATTCTTCCGATCGGCCGTTGAGTGTGTTGTTTTGTTTATGGAAATATTTAAGTGCTTGTCATCATTTGTGAACTCTGTTGGAAATTAGCCACCTAGTATACCTAGGTGGATCTGAACTGAATTAGATAGTGTAATCACCAATCAGACTGTTGTTAGGTTCGGGCCTTGTGGAGCATGTTTGCATATTCAGTGGTCCAGGGTTCAAAACGTACGTACGGGAGTCACTGTAGCAAAATGGTCATGTATGGTGGTCACATACGTACGAATGGTGGGATTGCGGGTATTCCACTGATGGACCCTGCGTGGATGGTGCAGCTCCTGCAGCAGGTGCTCATCATGAACCAGAATGCTATTGCGCGGACTCAGCAACCACTACAAAAAAAAGGAGGCATTAGCGACAGGGGTCAATATGTCGCTAAAGGTTGGATATCTGTCGATACTCGCTTTTAGCGATAGATAATTGTCTATCGCTAAAAACTCCGGCAGTAAAAGTATTATCGACAGATAAAATATAATGTCGCTACAATAGTGTAATAGAGACAGACCAAAGATGTCGCTAAAAAGAGAGGAGTACTGACAAAACATATATGTCTCTAAAACATGGATTACCGAAAAAAATAGTGTTTGTAAATCCTTATTTTCTGTCGGTAATACCTTCTTTTTATCAACATTAACATTTATTATAATTGTCGCTAAAAGTTGGATTACCCACAAAAAATTGTGAGTAAAATATTTTTTTTGTCAGTAATATTTTATTTTTAACCAACATTAACATTTATTATAACTGTTACTAATACCGTGTTTCACACCAGCATGCTCTATTTAAAGGATATCAAAGAACTTCATTGACAAATAAAAAATAATACTCATACTTGTATTAACAACAATAGTGTTGGCCATGTGTGCAGCAATTGTCCCATGGCGGAGGCTATGTGGGCCAAGTCATAGTCGAATGTCGTGGGTGCTTGTGTGTTGAATGCACTATAAGGCTAGGGTATGCGCCTCTTTTAACACCAATTGATTTTAAAAGAGTTGGTAGCGCCTGAGGTCCTACAAGTGGTATCAGAGCAAAGGTCACGAGTTCGATTCTCAGCGGGAGCGGGAGCAATTGCTGAGGGGGAGATTGTTGGCCATGTGTGCAGCAATTGTCCAATGGCAGAGGCTATGTGGGCCAAGTCATAGTCGAATGTCATGGGCGCTTGTGTGTTGAATGCACTATAAGGCTAGGGTATGCGCCTCTTCTAACACTAATTGGTTTTAGAAGAGTTGGTAGCGCCTGAGGTCCTATAAATACATAATACGATAACATTTCAAAGGGTTACAACTAACCCATTTACTAGAAATAAACCAACATCTCAAAATTAGTTCATCATTTGCGTACGTTTCAAGCTAAAGTATAAACAGTCAAAGTGAACTAAATTAAAATACGCATTGATATGGAAGATATAGTCCAAAGCTTTAATGCTCGTCACTGTCTACATCTTCAAGTTCATTGCTCTCAGCTTCATCATCTTTGTTCCATTGATCCTCATTATGACTTTGCTTAGTGGTTGTATTACCATCAATTGTAAGGTCATCAATTTCAGATTCATTAGCCGTTGAACCCTATGCAAAAAAATTATAAGCACAAAATAAAGTAATTAAAAATTTTGCACTAAATTTACCTTACACTCATGCATAGGAGTTCACTGCAGGGAGAGCTGCTGGATTGGTCTGATTTCCGTCCAAAATTGGACCTCCATGCCTCGCTGCTAGCCGATCGACGATGAAGGCCAACCACCGGCCCTACTCTGTGCCTAGATGCTGATCGAAGCGAGCCCACAGATACTGTGTAAACCTCCTAATCCCAAGTGGTAGCCTAACGTGAATATATTGATCATGTCAAAATTGAAGCTGAAGAACACATGTTTTACTCCCCTTTCAGGTTTCAGTTCATAATTATATTAAAAGACACATAAATTCTTGCTTCTCACATACATGAGAGGCTCCAGCTTTCTAATTGTCAGTAGTATCCAGGCCCTGGGTCTATCCCTGGTTTTGATCATGGAACAAACATTTGACACTGAGCCTGACATCCAAGGTAACTTTTATTCAACTCTCTCCATAAAACTAGTAGAGCATTACCAAAGTATATACAAGACAATAATCTAGTAGGGAGTAAGAAAGAATAAATAATCATTTACCCAATGAAAGAATAATAGGATGATACCTCAAGAAAAGCACATGGCTCATTAAGATCAGCATTAAACTCAAAGTGATATGCTTTCAAATGTCCAAAGGATTTAGCAATCTCCATAAGCTGGAATAGCAGCATAAAATTTATGCTCTCAGGCACGATGAAAAAAGAAACTAGAAATATTATCTATAATAAACCTTTTACCGATGTTAAGATTAATTCTCTTACCATATCAGATGAAATAAGTTCGGAGATTCCACCAACAAAAATTTACAATATGTAATAAACATTGTTGGAACAGAAAAAAGGGATCAACAAAAGTATCAAGTAAATGACGAAATGAGAAAGAAAAAAGTGCTTGTGAGGCCAACAGTTCATTGAAGCTAACCAAATCCAAAGTGCACTAAATTGGGACAAACATGGGTTTTAACTAATTTGGTTTCATAGAGTAGATAAGAGGCAATTCATATCTTTGGTAAGGAGCTTCAAGTTGAGGTAAAAGCTATTTGTTAAAAAGATGATCGTGTTTACTGAACACTATTTTTCGATAATTACTCACTTCTAAAAAATGATTCCAGAAAATTTCTCTTTTAAATCGAATAAGATATTCACGTAGAAAAAAATGCCTGGCATCTCTTTTGGCCACATGTTCTATACTCAAAAAGAAAAAGAAGACGAGAAACAATTGCCTTAAGGCCAAATAAAAGAGTGATTATAAGTAGCTAGACAGGTCCCTAAAGGAACCCAATGGCATTTGTGGCATCTATGATCATCATCCAATTCATTTTATTGTGGAGCTTGCTTTGTAAAGAAATGAAAGGTGATGACGATTGTCGATTGAGGATGCTACATGCTCTATTAGTATCCCTGATGAAACCTACCTAGCTCCATAAGTTTGTCAAAGAAGGCAAAACAATCTCAATGTGCAAAAGCCATGGCATGTCTGTAAAAATCGTGGACACTTATAATTAACGTTAAAGACTTTGTGAATATAGTACATATCATGATATGAATAGAATTCCTTAGTATATTGTGAAATTGAAACACAATCAGAGAGAAGGGCAGCCATGGCAGCCTAACAAGTGAATACAAAATTAGAGTGAACAAATCTAAAGAAAATAGTGATAAAGATTAGATTAAAGAAAGGTGAAGAAATTGAAACCGAATCAGAGAGAAAGCCGCCATATGATTTCCGTCCGGAATCACGGAGGTCGGAATCAGACCTCCATGCCTCGCTGCTAGCCGATGGACGCTGAGCTTACCATAGTACCTCTAAATGTTAGACCACTTGGCAGAATTTGGTCAAGACTTGGTGAACACCACCAAGAGGTGTTGTGACAGGTTCGTTTAAGGGCATGTGCCCGAAGCTTTTTTAGAGTACATGTCCACGGTGTCAAAACAGGATTTCGGGTTGATGTACGAGCAGGCGAAGGAGGTGGTCAGAACTAAGGAGGGTTGGAAGCCAGAAACTGAGCAGAAGCCGGCGAAGGTACGTCTTCCGGCGGCCAGTTCTGGAAAAGCTTTTGAGGGTAAGAGACCCTCGAGTGGTTCAAGGATTCAGCTGTCCAAGAGGGCCAAGACAACGCTGACGTAGTATGTGGCCTCGAACAGCAAGGGGAAGGCACCTAAGCATCCATTGTGTACGAGCTGCAACCGTTATCATCCAGGCGAATGTTGGTGGAGCATGGGGTTGTGCCTGATCTAACCATACAAACCTGAATGGCAGAAGGAAAAGCTATGGCGTCCGTTTGTTATGCGGAGTAGCTCAAATGTTGTTGCGGCCAGGAAAATGGGAAATGACTACGACGCGTGATAATTGACTCGAGTTTTGACTCTTCCCCAAAATATTAGGGACTTTTCTTGATGTTGAAACAAAAATGCTAGTGTAACACAGAATTTTTAAATTGCAAATGACACTTTGTACACATATGAATAATAATCTCTTTGAAATTACAGATTTCGCAAACCAATATCAAATGTTGTGTATGTACAAACTCACCAACATGCAGTTGTTAATCGTGGCAAGTTTCTAGTAACGTATTGCAATGTCATTTGAATAAGGTTTTGTTTTGCAGATTCAACCCATAATAACCTTACTACATTCTGCCTGAGGCCATAATGTCTTCACTGGTGTTCTGGTTCAAGCCATAATGTCCTCGCCACTGCTCCAGTTACCTTGCTGCCTCTCACAATGTCTTCGTCCCAGATATTCTACTTCAGCCCAGTGCATAATGTCCTTGGAGTCCAGTGCATAATATCCTCGTACAGCAAGGCGTTTTGAAGATCTAAAAATTTATTTTGAATTTTGTTTATTTTTAATATTTTGAATAAATTATAAATTTATAATTTTATTTATTTTTATTTTTCGGGGCCGGTCATCTTTCCCGTCCGTTGTAATCCGTACGAGAATTGTAATAATTTTAAGGTAGTGCCACATTCATGCATGATGGAGGGTATGGACAGTTTTAGTTTTGACACTCACACTGAAAATGTGAGTAGTTCCAAGACTCCGGTTGTAAACACTTTTGCGGGATTGGGTGGATATGTTGGGCAAACCACTCCAATTATCGTTCCCTTTGGATCGAGTGCGACCGTGGGGTCCACTTGGAGCTTCTTCTTTGGTGGATCGAGCGCGACTATGGGGTTCGCTCTGGTCACTTCGTTTGTTGAACCGACTGTGGCTATGGCCGTAACGGTCACCTCACTTAGACCAAGTATGGCTATGGCCATCCCATTCAAATCTCTTAGACTGCACGTGGCTTCTACCGTACCGGTCATTTCCTCTTGTACCCGCACCGGTTGGGCATCTTACTGTCACGATGCCTGCGAAGTTTGTCACGGAACCGACAAAGTTCAAGGGTCTTGGGTTTAAAATATGGCAGCAAAGGAGGATTTTTTGGCTGACCACCCTCAACCTTGTGAAGTACTTGAGAGGATCCCCCAATTGTGGGGGAAAATGCGGACAAGCCAATAATTCAGGCTAGAGGGGCATAGAATGCGAATAACTATCTAAGCCTTAACCTTCTCTTGAATTGTCTGAGCGACACTTTGTATGGAGTTTACTACAAGGCAGCATCTGCAAAAGGAGTTATGGACTGTACCAAGCCGAAGATGCCGGTGCGAAGAAATTCGTTGTAGGTAAGGTTCTGGATTTTAAGACGATGGATTCGAAACCTGTGGTCAGCTTGATCTTCTTTTTTAGTGAGTGTATTGACGAGGGAATGAGAGTTAGTGAGGCGTTCCAAGTCGCGGCGATCATTCATGTGATCTTGCTGACTTGGGATGAGTTCCGGAGTTATCTCAAGCTCAAACAAAAAGAGATTACCTTAGAACAGTTGCTTGTTCATCTCCGGATTCGTGAAGAGGGTCTAGCCCGCGAGAAAAAAATAACTTGTTGCTAAGGCTAATGTGTTGGAGCATCCACCAAGGAGGGTTCTTCCAAAGGGCCCTAGAAGG